CTAAAAAGATCAAAATAGAAACAAACTGAATAAAAAATTAAAAATTTTATCTAAAAATTTGTTTAAACCGATCGAAACCAATGATGTAATAAAGGAAAATCAAAGTAAGGTGTGTTTTAGTCAGAAGTGTGAAAAATTGGTCGAAAATACAGCTGTTTACCTTATACAATAAACTTAGAAGCAGTTTTTCTGGTCCAGATTCTTAGCTTTGTTTAATTTGAGTTGTTCCAACATTTTTTCTATAAAAATACATATTTCAAACTCCGTGTACAATACATGTCTTCTCTTTGGTATTAAAAATGTTTCGAAAATTGATTCCCGATGTAAATCTCTTAATATTGTTGTTATTGTTCAAAAAAGTTCAGTAAAACATTCCGAAAATTTTCATTCTTCTAGTTGTTATTTGCAGCTTTATGGTAAGAACTTATTCCATTAATTTTTTCTTAAATTCCTTCACATTAATTGGTGTAATTTTAGCTATTTTGTTATTAATTTTAAAATTTTGATTCAATTCTGATTATTTTTATAATATGTACAATATTTTTGATTGAAATTATAATTTTGACTTATGATGTTCATTCTGATTTTGAATTGAAAAGCAATTTTTAATTTTCATGAAAAAAAAAAAATATCCTCATTAATATTTAAAAATAAAAATTTTCTTGAATATATTTATACTAAAATTGCGCGATTAAATTATAGATTTTGTTTATATTCAAGTCGGGTAGGGTTTAGTTTGGGGTGTGTAATGGGAATCAATATTAGGTTTAGTTTATGTGTTAGGTTAGATTAAGTTGTTGAAACGTTTTCCATGTATATTCCCTTGAAACCGCAATATTATTCCCAAGGCTAGGAACAGTGTCTTGTCCACCCTATGTCCGGATTTAGGTCTTAATCTTTAAGAATTTTAAAATTTTGCCTTATAATATGAAATATGGGGACCTCAGTTCAAATCCAAATTTTACATTTTGAAAAAAAAATTTTTTTTTTGTATGCAATAATTTTTTTTTTTTTAATGAAATTTAATGAAATTTGGGTTTGCTATTTAAAGTTTCGGTTGTATTGTAGTGAATGAGTTCGAACCCAAATTTTGCCTACATTGTATTTAAACATAAAAATAAGAAAATAGGTGAAATATTTTTATTAAATCAAAATTATATTAACACTATTAACAGAAAAAAAGCAAGAATTAGTGTTTTGCCTCTCTCTAGGGGCCCAGAAAAGCAAGAAATTACAGTACAAAGTTGTACTGTAATTTTCATCTTTAGTATAAATTAAATAAACAAAATTAAATGAAAAAATCATTACAATTTTAATGATCATAATGATTTTAAAGTTTTTAAAATATAAATTTGTCAGAAATACCCTACATATTATGCATTTACGCTTATTAATGTAAAGTTTTAAGGTTTCATTGAGAAATTTTATAAAACTAGTTTGTTTTTACATTTTGCAACATTATGAAGTTTGGAATTTATTTGAGACAATGAAATGATGAATGAATACGTTTCAAAATTATCAATTTTATTGTTGATATTTGAATATTTTCATCGTTTGTTCCAATTATATTTAGGTAAACGGCAATAATTCGGTCCCATGCATATAATTTTCTTCTAAAAAAATTTACATTAAGTTACAAATCAAAATTAAATAGGTTTTTAAATTATTTTTTTACAATTAAGTTGATTTTCGAGTCCACAGCGCTTCCGATATAATTTTGAATTTATTATTTAGTTTTTGTGGAGCATGAATAGTTCAATTTTTTCAGAGAATGTTGTAATTTCACCTAAAATTTAAGAAAAAATATATTTTTTATTATTGTGGTTCTATGGTTTTTCTTCAGAGTTAGAAAAATGATTAAAAACATTTAAGACCGCTTTAGGTACATTCACTTAATACTCATTTTCTTGTTAGAGAAACTAAGTAACTAGCAACTATATAGAAACTATATAGAGAGAAACTAAGTATGTTAGCAAATTATTAGAAAATGCAATTTTAAAATATATACAATAATAAAGTTGGGCCAAACCAATGGTTTTTATTGTAGCACTTTTCTCTTCAACAAGTGAAAATAATGCTTTTAAATACAGTCTATGTACACCTCCCACACTATTAAAAATATTTTCATTCATAAACGAAACGATTGCATATTATATTTAGGATGAGCGATTTATGCAGTCTTTGAAATAAAGCAAAAATTAATATAAAGAGGGGTTAACATAATGCTCAATTTTAATGGTTAATTGCATGAGCTAAGAAAAATAAAGATACTTTTTAGTGTCATGGAATTTACCGTTGGTTTTTTGCGTTTATAGAAATTTAAAAAAGCTTGTGGTTTTTAAAATATAAAGCGTCAAAAATTCAAATTTTACAAATTTCAAGATGCGATAAGTTGAGAAGGGGTGGAGACGGGAAAAAATGTTTGTTCCGTCGTGACGTCACAGGCACATATTCATTTCCTAAAAGAAAAAAATAACAACAACAAAGAATACAAGGTTCACAACAATAACATGATTGTACTTATCTGATGAATTCAATATGCATCCAACTGCGCAAGTTTTCATCTCAACCTAAAATTGAAGCTAATTAAAGCACATAACATACATATATTTGATCATATATAAAAGAAACTTCAACTTACCTGTTGAATATATTGCAGGTTTGCAATCGCTTTAGTCCTGAGTATTTTGGTCCAGCGCAGTCAGTCCTTCTTTCGTGGTTGGTCTCGTTGTTGTTTTATATTAAATTTTAATATTTGAGGAACTTTTGTTCCATTCTTTTTTCTAAATTTTAAAACAAAATATATCCACAAAAAAAACACTACACCACATTTCACTTGTTTATGTTTTGTAAATCAAATATTGACATTTGCAGACAAAAAAGATTCGTTCAATAGTTTTCGTTCAGTTTGATCGGTGTTGCCGCAAGGCAAAATCGATCAAAAATAAATTATATCAGCTATTTGTCAAGTGTGGTGGAGTGAAATAAAAAAGAACGAGCGAATGAAATGAAAAATATGAAAAGGGGAAATATTGTATATACATAATAATATAGAGTGTTTACAACAACAAATCAAGGCGCAGTGTATATAAAATTACATTGTATTTTCAAGTTCAGTGAACTGCGTCATCTGTTTTATATACACGAAAACGTTATCAACCAAAAAAGTGGGACTGGCTAGGTGTATCACCGTTGCACAACAGTTTGGATAAAATTTTTCTGGATCTATAAATAGAATGGAAAATTCCAGATCAACAAGCCAGTATTAGAAAAACCGTCGCATCGAACTTATCCATTTTGAATTTATGTCGAAATTGTAATATACTTGGTTTATATAAAGTCATATTAAAAGAAAATTAAATTTTGTTAATTTGTTAATTTGTAAAATTTAATAAATTGTTAGTACATGAATTGCAGAGAAAAAAAAACAAAAGTGAAGTTGTTTTCTTATAATTATCTTATAAAAAAAAAAAGGAAAAAATAATAATTGCGTTAAAAAGAGGCAATAATAAAATTTTAGTGGTTTTTGCATAAAATGTTAGCGCAAATCGCCGTCTAACATTTTTTGGTCCTTCGAGCCGGATTTATATTGAAAATTCGCGGCATTAAAAAAAAGAAAAGAAACACAAAAAATTTGGATTTAAGAAAAAAAAAAACTAGAATAAAAGTAGTATAGTGTGCAAAAGGAAAACTAAGTTTAAATTAAAGAACGAAGAAGATTTAGTGAAACAAACTGAAAAACACATAACAAACTGCAAACTATTGGTGCGAAATTTAAGAAGTGTTTGAAATATTGAAGAGACTAGTGGTGGAATTTCTTTGTGGTGCAAGAAAATAATAAAAAAATAAAAACTATAATATTTAGTGTAGAACACAAAAGGAAAAAAAGAACTTTGAACAATTTTTATTTGTAGTGTAGAAGTGAAAAGCGGTTTCGGTATCGGTATCGGTCTCGCGACTCGCGCCAATTGGAAATAAGGATTGGACTTAGAAAGGAGGAGGAGAGAAATTATGGTGAGTTCGTTCCATTTTTTCTATTATTTCTTTTAAATTGCATACAAGTTGGATTTAAAAAATAAATTGGAGATTTTGATTACGAGAATTTCTTTCTTTATGAAAATATTTTAAATAAGTGTTTTTTTTTGAAAACAAATTTTACTGGCATATTTGACTGAATTTTTCTAAAATAATTTGGGCGGTTTAAATAGAAATACATTTTTGTTTTAATAATACGTTTTGTCCTCTTCTTGAGTGCTAAAAAAAAAAAAAAAAAAAAAAACAAAGGAAGGAACAATTTTTCGGGACAAATTTTTTACTTTTTGTGGACATAATGAAGAATAAGTTTTAGTGAAAAAAAAGAGGAGAGAACAATATATATTGAATTTTTTTTTATGAACTTGCGTGGTACTTTGCAATAATACTTTGTGATTCAGATTGAATTAGATTAATATTTAAGGAACTATTTGGCACTAGTTTTAATTAATTAATAAAATAGTTGTAATTTCAACAAAACTAGACAAAATATATGTATATAGTTGAAAATAAAGATATTATTTTGAGTGTTTAAATTGTTTAATTGATTTGTTTGGAGCTAATTGGTACGGATTTGGAACCTTATAACTAAATAAATTAAATACATAGGGATTAACATGGACAAGTTAATTAAGTTGCAATTGGCGGATAAATTCCTGATAGAGGAGATAGTAACACATTTTTCTAGAGACAAAAGAGAAAATAAACCAAAGGGATGTTATGAGGAAGTTTTGAACGACATAGAGACCCTTTATAATGAGATAAAGAAGCGTCATCGACAGATTCTGGTGGCCTCTTACACAGATAGGAACGCAGAGAGCGCGAAGTGTCCGTACCTCGAGAACAGCGTATTTAATGAAATAAAGACGCTTTTTCAAACTAGTCATCAGTCCATAGATGCTGAAATGGTCGACAGGTTTCCTAATAGGGAGGCGGACTTGAAAGTGGATCCGAACCACAGCATAAGCATGAGAAAGGAGGTTTCAAGTGTGGCGATAAACCTGCCAAAGATAACGCTGGCAAAATTTGATGGTGATTACCAGAAATGGCCTTCCTTTTACGACCTTTTTAGATCCCTGGTTCACAATAACGAAACTCTTCCAGCAGTACAGAAATTACAATATCTAAAGTTGCATCTTACTGGGGAGCCCGAACAATTGCTAAGAGCTTTTCAGGTAACAGAGGACAACTATATGGCTGCATTCAACATGCTAAAGGAGCGTTACGACAACAAGCGGGTGCTAGTCAACACGCTATTGAAACGGCTTCTTGGCCAGGCGATCGTGCACCAGGAATCAGCCATTGCAGTGAGGAGGCTTTTAGACACAACAAATGAATGCTTACAAGCTCTCACTAATCTACAAATTGATGTGGAAGGCTGGGATCCAATTACAGTGTACCTCATAGTCCAGAAGCTACCAATGGAAACGCATCAGCTTTGGGAACAAAACATAAGCGTCGAAAAGCAGCTACCAACTTGGCGACAGCTTGAAAACTTTTTAGAAACAAGGTTCCGCACATTGGAGGCAATAGCAGCTAGAAAATTATTTGCAGGTTCAAGGAGTCAAGTACAGAACGACTCAAACCGGAACAGGGGCAGCACTTCATTTCATGTTGCTACATCTGGGTCAACAAATAATGGTGCTTCATGTCCGTTTTGTCGAGCCGCACACACGATAAGAAAGTGTAAGGCCTTTTCAAGATTGGGTCAAAGTAAGCGATTGGAGGCAGTAAAAACTAGGGGGCTTTGCATAAATTGTTTGAAGCCTGGACACATGATGACCACTTGCCCAAGCCAGCAGAGCTGCTACAGGTGTCACAAACGTCACCATACATTACTACACCGAGAGGATGAAGGAGAGCGAACCTCATCGCAAGTTACAACTACACCACAAGTACATGCGCACCACGCCGCACATACTCCACAGCAAGCGGTAGCGGTGGCGCCAGAGTTGTCCACTTTGGCACCAGTCTTTGTACCCGGCAGTCATAACGTCCACACATGCGGCACGGCTGCCAATTCCAGACAACGGGTCTTGCTAGCTACGGCATATATCAGAGTTGTTTCACCTACTACGGGCCGATATCAAAGAGCTAGGGCGCTGATTGATCCCGGCTCACAAAGTTCGTTTATAACAGAGTCATTGGTGCAAGGCTTAAGTTTAAAGAAGGAGAGGATAGTCGCTGACATACACGGTGTATCACAAACAAATATTGGCCAATCATTGGCTAGGGTCAAAGTAATAATTGAAAGTGCAAATGGCTCTACAGGAGTACAGGTGTCGGGTTTAGTGCTTAAAAGATTGACGAACTTGTTACCAGAGCGAGACATCTTCGTGCAAGAGTGGCCACACCTGAATGGATTAACTTTAGCTGACCCCGAATATTTCAAGATGGGAAAAATAGACGTGCTCATCGGTGCTGACGTTTTTGGCCAAATAATATTAGACGGTTTAAGGAAGGGTCCGTTTGGCGCACCGATTGCCCAGAACACGATTTTCGGCTGGATCCTGTCCGGAACTATAAAGCTACAAGATGTTCCAACAATAATGATAAACAACTTCCATATGCAGTCGGATTTAAATGAAACTCTGAAGAGGTTCTGGGAACTTGAAGAAATACCAGAAAATAAAATGATGACTGAAGAGGAGCTAGCATGCGAGAAACATTTTTGCAGTACACATTCAAGAGCTGCAGATGGACGATACCAGGTGGAGCTACCATTCATAGAAGAAGACCCAATTGAGATTGGAAGTTCGAGACACATTGCAGTTGCCAGACTCTTTGGTATGGAAAAACAGTTTTGCAAAAATCGACAACTCCAAGAGGATTATATCAAGTGCATTAATGAATATAGCAACATGAATCATATGCAAAGGGTGGAACCAATCGAGTTGAGAAATGAAAGTCAAAAGATCATTTCCAATTATTTACCGCATCACGGTGTCATCAAGGAGAGTAGCTCCACCACGAAATTAAGAGTTGTTTTCGATGCGTCGCGACCCACATCCAACGGCTCATCCTTGAATGACAAGATGATGAAGGGCCCAGTCATCCAAGACGACCTGGCCACTCTTTTGCTCCGATTTCGAAAATATAAAGTTGCCTTTACAGCCGATCTCGAAAAAATGTATAGACAAATCAAACTTGCACCTAAACACACCAATTATCAGCGAATAGTTTGGCGAGAATCACCTAGACAACCTATTTGTGATTATAAATTAACTACCGTGACTTTTGGCACTAAATCCGCACCCTTTTTAGCTACGCGAGTGTTACAGCAGCTGGCTACAGATGAAAGGATCAGATATCCTTTGGCATCACAAGCAACATTAGAGTCCTTTTATGTTGACGATTTGCTATCTGGCGCAGATTCACTTGAAGAAGCACTACAACTTCAGAAACAACTCATCAACATGATGGCTTCGGGTGGATTTTCATTACGTAAGTGGTCATCAAATGCGGCACCATTACTGCGAGCGGTTCCTAAGGAGCACCGAGAAATTGAATGGCCTTTGCAAATAGAGGATGCAGAAACGGTAAAGACGCTAGGAGTGCAATGGGACCCAGCCAATGACTACTTCTCGTATAGAATTACCAAATTGGAGAATGGAGCCTCGAAATGGACAAAGCGATCGGTTCTATCAGAAGTGTCTAAGTTGTTCGATCCGCTTGGTTGGCTGGCACCCTGTATCATTTTGGCCAAGATAATGATACAGAAATTATGGCTGTCTCGTTCGGGCTGGGACGATGATTTGGAAAGGCCAATACAGGATGAGTGGCAGAACTACAGATCCAGTCTTATAGAATTAGAAAAGATCAAGATTACTAGATGGTTCAGTTACACCTCGACGGCATGTAAAATGGAGCTACATGGTTTTTGCGATGCTTCAATTAAAGCGTATGCGGCAGTTGTCTATTTGGTAGTCACAAACGAAAGTGGTAACAGGCAAATTAGTCTTGTGGCGGCAAAGTCAAAAGTAGCTCCAATAAAGACGATTTCTTTACCAAAACTAGAGCTGAGTGGAGCAGCATTGTTAGCAAAATTAATAAGACGGATGATCTGCGTTTTGAAAATTACGAACTGGTCAGAGGTACGGGCCTGGACAGATTCCCAGATTGTTTTGGCCTGGCTTCAAGGGCATCCAAGTAAATGGACTACTTTTGTGGCAAATCGAACTGCTGAGATCCACCATTTATTAGGAAAGAATATATGGCGACATGTACCGTCAAAGCAGAACCCAGCAGACTGTGCTTCGCGGGGTGTTCTACCTTCAGAACTGCCGAATCTGGACTTATGGTGGCGCGGACCTGAATGGTTGAGCATGCCTGAACAATTTTGGCCTCATACAACCACATGCGAGAGCACCGACGAAGAGGTGCGTAAATCAGCAACTTGCTACAGTACACTCACTAACGATCATCACGATAACAACATTCTAGGATTACAAAATAGATTTTCAACATTTACGAAATTAATACGAGTAACTAGCTATGTGAAAAGATTTATGAATGTTATTAAGAAAGTCAAGCATGGTGGCCGTTCTATAACAGCAACAGAATTCAATGCAAGTGTATTTACATGGATACGCATTGTTCAAGGGCATCATTTTGGGCATGAAATATTTCAGCTTCAAAAACGAAAAGTTATAAATGGAAATAATAGTCTGTCAAAACTAAGCCCTTTTTTAGACGAAAATGGAATATTGCGCATGGCGGGTCGATTACGTCACTCAGAATTAAACTACAATGAAAGATTTCCTATTATTCTTCCCGATAAAAGTCCCTTTGTGCGACTATTGTTGGAAAAGGTTCATCGCGAAACTTTACATGGTGGCGCCCAACTTATGTTGAATGTGTTAAATAGGAACTATTGGATTATTGGCGCAAGAAACCAGATTCGACAAGTGATACATAAGTGTATAACATGCTACAAACAGCGCGCGGCAGTTCAAACCCAATTAATGGGTGATTTACCAGCTTTTCGAGTCAGGACTGCACGACCATTCACACATACTGGAGTTGACTACTGCGGGCCCTTTGAAATCAAGACTCACAAAGGTAAAAATCCTAGGATGTACAAGGCATACATTGCAATTTTCATATGCCTCACAGTAAGGGCCATTCATATAGAACTGGTGACGGATCTTAGTAGTGAAGGCTTCATCGCGGCTTACAGACGATTTAGCAGCAGACGTGGCAAATGTCAAGCTATCTACTGTGACAACGGCACTAATTTTGTTGGGGCCAATAAGGAAATTGCCAGACAACACAAACAAATGCTACAGCAATTAAAAGAAGAGTTGGCGCAGTCGCACGAAAATGAAGGTGTGGCATTCCATTTTATACCACCGGGCTCACCTCATTTCGGCGGTTTGTGGAAGGCTGGAGTACGATCTACCAAGCAACACTTAAGGAGAGTACTCGGCAATATCAAATTAACTTATGAAGAATTGACAACTGTTCTAGCTCAAATTGAAGCCTGTCTAAATTCTAGGCCTTTATGCGAGATCAGCAGAAATCCAGAAGATTATACGGCTCTAACACCTGGGCATTTTTTGATTGGCGACGTAATTGTTACGCCACCTGAACCTTCAATCTTAGATCTTGCTGAAAATCGGCTGAACAGATGGCAACTGCTTCAAAAGCTGTATCAAACCTTTTGGACCCGTTGGAGCCGCGAATATTTGTGCAGATTACAACAACGTCCAAAATGGACTAAAAGACATGACAATATGCAATTGGGAGACTTGGTCCTCCTAAAAGATGAAAATTTGCCACCAAGCAGGTGGCTGATGGGTCGCATCATCGAGACTCACCCCGGTCCAGATGGACTAGTTCGAGTAGTTACCATCAAGACGAGGAACGGGACACTAAAACGTTCAATAGTGAAGATTTGCCTACTACCAATACATTCAAGGGCGAACGAAACCGAAACATCGCATTGATCAATCGAGAATGATTAATCGTACGCAAAAAAAAATTCGCGAACGTAAACTATGCACCTACACTTTATTGAAATTATGCACCTACACTATATCAGAATTATGCACCTACACTATATCAGAATTATACACCTACACTATATCAGAATTATACACCTACACTATATCAGAATTATACACCTACACTATATCGGAATTATGCACCTACACTATATCAAATTTGCGGGCCTACACTTAATACTAGGAGAACACCTAATACAAAATTTGTGAACCTACACTTAATACTAGGAGAACACCTAATACAAAATTTGCGACTCTACACTTAATACTACAAGTTGCACCTAATACAATATTTTCGAATCTACACTTAAATATATCTATATATATATATTTAAATTTAATTAATAATTTTTTTTTGATTTGATCAAAAATTTTCAATTATTAATTTATTTTTTTTTTTTCTCTCCTTCCCCAATTCCACATCCTGGATTTCCGGAAAGCGAGCTCAGGCGCTATAACCTTCCATCCTTTTACGTTCTCTATTTACAGATGTTAGAACCTAAAAACCTAAAAGGATGCTGCCTTAGAACATGGAAATTATGTTTAAAGCATTTTCGATTGGAAATGACACACTTACCGATTATCATTACAACATGGATAACTTTAGAAAAACATCAACAGATCGTTTTGTCATCTTCAGCCACAGATGCCAAGGCCGGGAGAATGTTCCGTCGTGACGTCACAGGCACATATTCATTTCCTAAAAGAAAAAAATAACAACAACAAAGAATACAAGGTTCACAACAATAACATGATTGTACTTATCTGATGAATTCAATATGCATCCAACTGCGCAAGTTTTCATCTCAACCTAAAATTGAAGCTAATTAAAGCACATAACATACATATATTTGATCATATATAAAAGAAACTTCAACTTACCTGTTGAATATATTGCAGGTTTGCAATCGCTTTAGTCCTGAGTATTTTGGTCCAGCGCAGTCAGTCCTTCTTTCGTGGTTGGTCTCGTTGTTGTTTTATATTAAATTTTAATATTTGAGGAACTTTTGTTCCATTCTTTTTTCTAAATTTTAAAACAAAATATATCCACAAAAAAAACACTACACCACATTTCACTTGTTTATGTTTTGTAAATCAAATATTGACATTTGCAGACAAAAAAGATTCGTTCAATAGTTTTCGTTCAGTTTGATCGGTGTTGCCGCAAGGCAAAATCGATCAAAAATAAATTATATCAGCTATTTGTCAAGTGTGGTGGAGTGAAATAAAAAAGAACGAGCGAATGAAATGAAAAATATGAAAAGGGGAAATATTGTATATACATAATAATATAGAGTGTTTACAACAACAAATCAAGGCGCAGTGTATATAAAATTACATTGTATTTTCAAGTTCAGTGAACTGCGTCATCTGTTTTATATACACGAAAACGTTATCAACCAAAAAAGTGGGACTGGCTAGGTGTATCACCGTTGCACAACAGTTTGGATAAAATTTTTCTGGATCTATAAATAGAATGGAAAATTCCAGATCAACAAGCCAGTATTAGAAAAACCGTCGCATCGAACTTATCCATTTTGAATTTATGTCGAAATTGTAATATACTTGGTTTATATAAAGTCATATTAAAAGAAAATTAAATTTTGTTAATTTGTTAATTTGTAAAATTTAATAAATTGTTAGTACATGAATTGCAGAGAAAAAAAAACAAAAGTGAAGTTGTTTTCTTATAATTATCTTATAAAAAAAAAAGGAAAAAATAATAATTGCGTTAAAAAGAGGCAATAATAAAATTTTAGTGGTTTTTGCATAAAATGTTAGCGCAAATCGCCGTCTAACAATGTTCTTCTAACGAAATAAAATATTTATGAATATCTAAGAGCTGCTAAAATTTCAGACTCCTGTAAGGTACGATGTAGAAGAAAAATGGTATCAAAAATTTGCATGTTCGTATAAAATTTCAGCTTTCTATCTTCAAAGGTGTAGAAGTTCTGTAAACATGTCCATAATAATTTGTTGATTCGTGTCTATAATAGGATAATATTCTTTTCCATAATATTCTTCTCCATAAGTTTATATTATAGCTTGTTTACGGACTGAATTAGGTACACTAAAAAGATCAAAATAGAAACAAACTGAATAAAAAATTAAAAATTTTATCTAAAAATTTGTTTAAACCGATCGAAACCAATGATGTAATAAAGGAAAATCAAAGTAAGGTGTGTTTTAGTCAGAAGTGTGAAAAATTGGTCGAAAATACAGCTGTTTACCTTATACAATAAACTTAGAAGCAGTTTTTCTGGTCCAGATTCTTAGCTTTGTTTAATTTGAGTTGTTCCAACATTTTTTCTATAAAAATACATATTTCAAACTCCGTGTACAATACATGTCTTCTCTTTGGTATTAAAAATGTTTCGAAAATTGATTCCCGATGTAAATCTCTTAATATTGTTGTTATTGTTCAAAAAAGTTCAGTAAAACATTCCGAAAATTTTCATTCTTCTAGTTGTTATTTGCAGCTTTATGGTAAGAACTTATTCCATTAATTTTTTCTTAAATTCCTTCACATTAATTGGTGTAATTTTAGCTATTTTGTTATTAATTTTAAAATTTTGATTCAATTCTGATTATTTTTATAATATGTACAACATTTTTGATTGAAATTATAATTTTGACTTATGATGTTCATTCTGATTTTGAATTGAAAAGCAATTTTTAATTTTCATGAAAAAAAAAAAAATATCCTCATTAATATTTAAAAATAAAAATTTTCTTGAATATATTTATACTAAAATTGCGCGATTAAATTATAGATTTTGTTTATATTCAAGTCGGGTAGGGTTTAGTTTGGGGTGTGTAATGGGAATCAATATTAGGTTTAGTTTATGTGTTAGGTTAGATTAAGTTGTTGAAACGTTTATGTATATTCCCTTGAAACCGCAATATTATTCCCAAGGCTAGGAACAGTGTCTTGTCCACCCTATGTCCGGATTTAGGTCTTAATCTTTAAGAATTTTAAAATTTTGCCTTATAATATGAAATATGGGGACCTCAGTTCAAATCCAAATTTTACATTTTGAAAAAAAAATTTTTTTTTTGTATGCAATAATTTTTTTTTTTTTAATGAAATTTAATGAAATTTGGGTTTGCTATTTAAAGTTTCGGTTGTATTGTAGTGAATGAGTTCGAACCCAAATTTTGCCTACATTGTATTTAAACATAAAAATAAGAAAATAGGTGAAATATTTTTATTAAATCAAAATTATATTAACACTATTAACAGAAAAAAGCAAGAATTAGGGTTTTGCCTCTCTCTAGGGGCCCAGAAAAGCAAGAAATTACAGTACAAAGTTGTACTGTAATTTTCATATTTAGTATAAATTAAATAAACAAAATTAAATGAAAAAATCATTACAATTTTAATGATCATAATGATTTTAAAGTTTTTAAAATATAAATTTGTCAGAAATACCCTACATATTATGCATTTACGCTTATTAATGTAAAGTTTTAAGGTTTCATTGTGAAATTTTATAAAACTAGTTTGTTTTTACATTTTGCAACATTATGAAGTTTGGAATTTATTTGAGACAATGAAATGATGAATGAATACGTTTCAAAATTATCAATTTTATTGTTGATATTTGAATATTTTCATCGTTTGTTCCAATTATATTTAGGTAAACGGCAATAATTCGGTCCCATGCATATAATTTTCTTCTAAAAAAATTTACATTAAGTTACAAATCAAAATTAAATAGGTTTTTAAATTATTTTTTTACAATTAAGTTGATTTTCGAGTCCACAGCGCTTCCGATATAATTTTGAATTTATTATTTAGTTTTTGTGGAGCATGAATAGTTCAATTTTTTCAGAGAATGTTGTAATTTCACCTAAAATTTAAGAAAAAATATATTTTTTATTATTGTGGTTCTATGGTTTTTCTTCAGAGTTAGAAAAATGATTAAAAACATTTAAGACCGCTTTAGGTACATTCACTTAATACTCATTTTCTTGTTAGAGAAACTAAGTAACTAGCAACTATATAGAAACTATATAGAGAGAAACTAAGTATGTTAGCAAATTATTAGAAAATGCAATTTTAAAATATATACAATAATAAAGTTGGGCCAAACCAATGGTTTTTATTGTAGCACTTTTCTCTTCAACAAGTGAAAATAATGCTTTTAAATACAGTCTATGTACACCTCCCACACTATTAAAAATATTTTCATTCATAAACGAAACGATTGCATATTATATTTAGGATGAGCGATTTATGCAGTCTTTGAAATAAAGCAAAAATTAATATAAAGAGGGGTTAACATAATGCTCAATTTTAATGGTTAATTGCATGAGCTAAGAAAAATAAAGATACTTTTTAGTGTCATGGAATTTACCGTTGGTTTTTTGCGTTTATAGAAATTTAAAAAAGCTTGTGGTTTTTAAAATATAAGGCGTCAAAAATTCAAATTTTACAAATTTCAAGATGCGATAAGTTGAGAAGGGGTGGAGACGGAAAAAATGTTCTTCTAACGAAATAAAATATTTATGAATATCTAAGAGCTGCTAAAATTTCAGACTCCTGTAAGGTACGATGTAGAAGAAAAATGGTATCAAAAATTTGCATGTTCGTATAAAATTTCAGCTTTCTATCTTCAAAGGTGTAGAAGTTCTGTAAACATGTCCATAATAATTTGTTGATTCGTGTCTATAATAGGATAATATTCTTTTCCATAATATTCTTCTCCATAAGTTTATATTATAGCTTGTTTACGGACTGAATTAGGTACACTAAAAAGATCAAAATAGAAACAAACTGAATAAAAAATTAAAAATTTTATCTAAAAATTTGTTTAAACCGATCGAAACCAATGATGTAATAAAGGAAAATCAAAGTAAGGTGTGTTTTAGTCAGAAGTGTGAAAAATTGGTCGAAAATACAGCTGTTTACCTTATACAATAAACTTAGAAGCAGTTTT